TTGTTGCCAATACTTCTATACTTTTATTTGAGAATCTTGGACTTTCACTTGTAATTTAATGTTTTTATAGTGTACTACAGGTGGTTTTACTCAAGTTAAAGATTCATTTTACCTGCTTCCACCTGTCTTTTTTCACTTTCAACCACTTCAAGTTCTTTCGAAACATTCAAAGACTGCATGTTATTGTCTGCAAAACTCAAATTTTGTAAAAAAAAAAAAAAAAGAGTTCAATTAACCTACTGTAACTCTCTACGCACTTTAAATCGCATTTCCTGCTAGTCTTAAGAAAAGAAAAATCATCACAGCTCTGTCTGCAGTCAGGCAAATTAAATGAGCAGTTTTTTTTTTATTATTTCTTAGCTCCTTGCTGTGTGGGAACATTCAGCAATGGCTCAGCATGTCAAACCATGTCAAGTGTTACAGCTCCCTTCCTGTTTTTTTTCTTTTTTTTTGAGTGGGGTGGGGGGGATATCACGCCGGAGAAATTAACTAAAAGGCTGGTCTTCAGACCCCTTCCTAAAATGATTAACCCTTCTAGAGAGAATTATTGAGTTCTGAGTGGTTGTGCTTTCTCATTGCCAATAATTGTTCTTTTACTGTTGTTGCCTTCATCAGTCTCTCTCCTCATTATATGAAAAGAAGGGGAACATGTCTGAATAGAGGAGGGAGATTTTCCCACAGTCAATCAACTCAGAAAAATCCACCATTGTGGCCATTTTCCAATTCCAATGCCCTGCTGCACAGTCCGCTGTGGTCCGCGGGACAATGTTCTTATAATTAACTGACCATTCCTCCTCCTGTTTGAAAAGCAAATATAACATATAATATGATGCAGATATAATTTAGAGTGAAAATCCTCAGCGATATGATGTACTTTAGCTATTTAAGTTGTATCCTAGGCATATATAATTATGCTCATTTGAGTGAGTACAGCCACAAGATAATTTTCTTTTTTGTATTCCACCAATTACTGAAAGGCTTTAGTGCTGCGATCTATACAAGCCAAGTACCAGTGAGCCTTTTTTTTTTTTAGCTCTTAATGAGAACAAAGTGGCATTATTCTGCTGAAGCCTCTCCCAATAATTTATTTTTATTTCTATTTTTTAAGACCAAGCAAATCTAATTTATTAATGTCGGTCAATTCATACGTGGGAGAGTATACTTGCATTTAATTCAGTAAAAGCTAAATTTAAAACCGTGAATGAAATAAAATATGATAAACAAATTCAGAGGCAATACACATGTAAAAATGAAAAAAGAGACAGAAACTAAAGGAAAAAAGGAACTAAAAACAAATAAAAGTGATAAACATGACTTTGATAATAGGAATTTAAGCTTAAGGTGGTCAGAAATAAGACACAACTTTGATTCTCTGGTGATTTGTTCCATGTGGTGCTATATCAATAGTACTAATCTAATCTATTGTAATATATGTTACAGCAACACCTGTGCATTAAGGAATACTTTTATGTTTGATCTTTAATTACATTTTGCTGTTAATATTTCAAGTGTGAAGTATTTTAACACTTCAACTTCTCCCTAAGGATATTCTGTCTGCAGGCTTGCATCAATATCTTTCTATTTATATTACAACATTAAATAACTATAAAATATTTTACACTAAATGTAGTTTGTACAGTAAAAAATAAAAATATTAAAAGTGAGCATTCCTATTAACAATTGTAAAGAAACATTTGCAGATAAAGCTAATTATAGAAACAGAAATAATAAATAAACAAAGATTAAAAGATTAAGACCCACGCAGAAGAGAGACAAATATAATGTAATGAATTACTATTAAACCGCATTATATGAAACTAAATATAAAGTAATAAGTGGTATAATCTATTCAATTCTGAACAACTGCCCACACATCAGCGGTTGTGTTAGTGCACGCATGCGTGTGAGCGCGCGCGCGTGCAGCCTCTCCTGCGCTCACGCGGTCTCACTCCAACCAATCAGCGGGCAGTATTGTGCAGCCGGTACAAGAGCTTCTCCGGCCGTAGGACTGCAATGGCGGAGACAATGAAGCTGAGTAGAAACCACGCTCCTCCTAATGAATCCAGAAAATTGTCTAGCTACAGGGACTGCATGTGTGCGATATTGACGCTGTTGTCAGACTTCGGGAAAGAGGTTGGTTGACATTGTTTGAGCCCGAAGTAGCACCGAGAGACGTTTCTTTCCGTTCGTGTAGTTAAGGAGCTAGCTACATGCTAATGTTTTTAGCATCCCAGCACTACTTAGGTGATGAACAGTCATTTTGAGCGACTGCTCATAGCGGGTATTAAGACATAGATGAGGGCACCAATTTAAGAAAGATCACTTCAACTCTATTGTCATTGTCACATACATAGCTCTTCCCTTCTCATCCCTGCAACCCGTATTCAACATTCATGAGCTATATAAATAATGTTCACGTGGTTTGTACATCTGGTGGAATTAATCAGTACATATGTGATTTATATTCCAGTTCTTTCCCTTTTAATCAAGAATAACAATAGGAACACAGCAAATATGTTTTTTTCAAATTGTTTTGTCTTACTAAACAGTCCACAACCCAAATGTATTAAATTTAAAATGACATAGCAGAAATAACATACAACTTAATACTGCACATTGAAAAAGCTGGTACCAGTATTTAACCCTAATTCTAATGGATTAACAAAATAGCTGCTGGTTTATTATCAGCTCGACTAATCAACTAAGTAACCTATAATTATGTTAAACACTGAATCTGCTTTACACTAATGTCTAGGGCAGTGTAGCCTTAATTTGTGTGTTTTTTTTTTTTTTTTTAAATCAAGCTCAAATTAAATGACGCTGCTCTGAGAGTAGAAGTCAGCATCGATGCTGTGGATCTACCGTCATCTCCAGATGCTCAAGTGTACAACTGTTTGCAGGAGCATGTCACTCAATTACAGGTAAAGTGGCCACATTTTGTAAAATTGCATGATTTCCCCGTGGTAACACTAAAAGGTTTTGCTGAATTACTTTTGAATTGATGACCAATACATCATTATTTATGAAGGCACAAGTCTTTTTTTTTTTTTTTTTTAATGTATCATACCATGTAATGCTTGTTAGTAGGGTATTTAATTTAATTTTGTGCTTTGATGCAATATTTCTTTCTGCCCCAACTGTTAAAATAGGCCGTATCAGAAAGCTTAAAGACACTGGTGGAGGCGCACCGAGATACATTATCTGCAAAAGACAACACATCGGTTGACGCTGTCACCTCATCGTCACCCAAAGAGCAGTCGACTGCGCCGTCTGAGCACCGTCCTCCAAGCCCAGAGGATGCAGAGAGCAAGACGGTGGCGGATGATGTCATGGTTCAGATCAGAGCCAGGAAGTCAGAAGTTAGTCTCCGTCAGCAGATCTGTCAGCTGTTCTGGCAGTGACATGTTTAGTGCCCTCTCTTAGTCTCTGTCAAGCAAATGAATAATCATAAGTAATTGCTTGACGTGCCGCAGTGAAGCAAATATTTGATGGAGATCTGATAAGCCGAATTCAGCAGAGAATAAGGGGTCCTTCAGTGCTGTGGTTGGGTAGAGCAGACCACATTGCTGGAGGGCTTTGAGAGAGGGCCAGGTCCTTGATGGATTATGAAGTGGATGCTCATTACTCTGAGATTGCATGTGGATGAAGGACAAGAGGCCCCATTCTGTTGTGCATTTATTTTGGTAGCCAAGCAAACAGTATTCATATTCCATCATGTGATGATGGCAAGCGGTTCAACTTTTTAGGCTACCTGGAGTAATTCCCCACTACATTTCTTATTCCATGTAATGCAAATTACCGTTTGCCCCGGATCATTACACTTACCGAGGCAAAAAAAAAAAACCTCATTGCATTCTTGACACCTATCAATAGCTCATCCATCCTTTGCGTCTCATTATCTGTGTTGTCTCTCCTTTGTAACCCTAGATTGAGCGAAGAATATCTGCATTTATGGAACGCAAGCAAATGGAGATCAATGAAAACAATGTACGCGAATTTTGCAACGTGATCGACTGCAATCAGGGTGAGAATTGGAAAGAGGTGGTGTGGGGGGGGGGGGGGGCCTGCACACAGATTGCCAATGTTTGGGAGAGAGCTGATTTCCACAAGCGAGAGGTCAGGCTGAACCGCTCCAAGAGTGGGGCTGAAGTAGCTAACGCACTCAGCCTTAAAACACAACCAGCTAAGTCCAGAAAAACATGAGACAGAGATTTATTTTTTTAAATTCAAAGCCTGTTTGAGACACCGGTTATAGGAATCAGGACACACTAATGGTAATACAAATGTAAGCAATGTATATAAAATGTTTATCACTTTTGTTTACATTTTTATTGACATTCTGAAAAATATTTTTTGATTACTTTTTCTCTTCTGTAGAAAACAGCTGTGCCAGAACAGAGGCCGTTTTCACTCCATATCCAGGTTTTAAAAGCCACGTGAAAGGTAAACAAAAATACATTCACCACAAATGTCAATGTGACAGTTCCTAGCAGCTTTATTTTTACAAACTGTCACCATAACTGTAACCATAATTTCACACATTGTTTTGAAATAGTCATAGGTCCATAATCCTTAAAATCTTGTAAAAAACAAAAAAAAAGGGACTTGACAAATAATAAGAAATGTTTATTATTTTTGGTTTGATACATATAATTAAGTTTATATGTACAGTACCTTACATGTATTATGACAAAATGTGTTTTTGAGTCCGCTTGATGCAAGAACTCATCAAACATATTTAATATTTAAAGCACCAACAGATTTATCAAAAATAATCTAAACTGCTAACAAATGTCAAGGATTTTGTGAGAGCCCTTTGTACATCTGCATGCTTTGCACATGGCCACCGCACTGTTAACTCGTCTCTGGTTAATATTATTAATTCTGTTCATGTGTTGTGTTCCTTGACCGGCTAGTTACACGGGTTGTAAACACTTACGGGCCCCAGACACGTAGTGGGGGAGGCCAAGGAGAGGCTGGGGAGCAGCTGAGGTTGCCGATGGCAAGAGACTGTGGAAATGCAGCCATAGAAGAACGACTTCACAACATCGAGACTCACCTGAAACTCCCAACAGGTCAGAGAAGGACAAACACGCACTGTGTCTCACTGTATGTTATGTTTTAAGTGTCACACATTACAGATACTCTTTAAAGTTGTTGTTTTTGACCCTACCTCTCTTTTACACGTCGACATCCCTTACTTGTATTCCTCTACTACACTTGTTGATTTTGCCATGTGAAATGATCAATATTCAAACCCTTTTCAACAAGTGTTTATTCTTTAGCTGGCCCAGTCCCATTGAGTGTCTACCAGAGACTGAAGAAGCTGGAGGATCGTATCTTGGAGTTAGAGGGACTCTCACCAGAGTACTTTCAGTCCACGGTGAGTCTTGGCTTTGAAATGGACACAGGAAAGGCACTTGATAATTATTAGTCAGCGTTCATACGAAGGCCTTTTGTGCTAGTGGGCTATTTATGATTTTCTGTTTGACTTGTTTAGCACATATAATCAAGTTACTGGAAGTCATAGGTATACTCTTCTTCTACATACATTGGAACTCTGATTATTTTGGCAGCCAGACTTTTAACAGTCAATAGACCTCTTACATTACATTGATGGCAGACACATGCTCAATGAACGTGTGTGTGTGTGTGTGTGTGTAAAACGTGGTCAGATTAAATCACTCCACAGTGCATTGACTAGATAGTTAATTGATTCCTGCTTTTTGAAGTTTCAGAGGTATATTTTCCCAGTCCGTTACACATTCATAGGGATTTAACATAACTTATTATCTTTAATATCTTGTGTATTGCAGAACTACCTGTACTGCCATACAGCGGTCATATTCTTGAGTTCTACACAATATGTAGAATGCTCTGATTTTGAAGAAAATGAAATAACTCCATATCAACTTTGTGATGTTATGGTTGCCCATTGGTGCTTTCACTAAATATTTACACAATGAGTTTCTTGATAAAATATCATCGGTATTGTGGATACAGTAACTAAGTGGGAAAAGACACATAATTCAACAGCTACAACAGACTGGTGAGTTCAGAAAAGTGAAGTGCAGCCTTTAAAACCAGGAAGAGACAAAATTAATGGTTAAAACAAATCAACAAGGTACCTGTAAGTTTGTTCAAGTCCCTCTTGTTTCTGTTACTTTGAGAGAACCACAGAATTTAGCATTCAGAATTCATCCATTTCACACGCCGTCAGTCACTTTGGCATTTAATGTGTAGGATGCCTAAATTAGCATGTAGAATATTGGTTTGCTGTAGGCAAAATCATTTCAAAATGAAATCTACTTACTGAGAGGAGTTTGTCGCTGATGCTAATGGAGTTTCCTCGTATATGCCCCGATACTTCAACACGTTTCCCTCCTCGAGTTACACTTAAAGCTGATTTGAATCAAAAATGCAACGCTCGTGGTTAGATTTACCCGAACTTTTAGGTCACTGCAGAAAGCTCACTCGAGAAATGACTTCTTTTTACTACACCGTGGTTTTTAGGAAAGCACAGACTCAAAACATGGCAGAAAGTAATACAGCAGACTTCATATACAACCCGACAGACTTCAGCAGAGAAAAGCAGACTCTTAATTTCCTATCTTGACGATGTCTGTCCAGCGTGTGTTTAGTTATGTGAGTAAGTGTGCTTTAAGATGCTGCATGTCTCTTCACACTGGTGTCTCTCAGCACAGCATGCTGCTTCTGTGAGGATGCTGCTCTCCATCTGCTTTTGACTCACTGCATGCTTGTGTGAGCAGAGCAAGAGATGTCGAGTGTCTTTGAATAAACTGATGGAGTCTTTTATATTCGGAGTACCACTTTTTTTTTTTGGCAATTTCTGAAAATACTGTAGTTTGATGTTTGCTGAAGAGCTGTACACAGTTTGCCCAATATTTCAGGATCAACAATTTAACACTGAACAGTTAAGGAAGCTCCTCGACACTTTTTGCAACAAATTAAAAAAACAATTTCACAAGCTTTTAAAGTTGAAAGTAAAACCACATTTCTTAGAGCAGGTCTTGTATCCGAGGCATCCCCTGTTCAACTCTGACAGAAGACATTTGTAAGATGATGTACCCATGTTAGTTCAATTCCCATGTTATACATCTCCAGCTATTGTCAAAATATCCAAAACAAGCAGATTAACATTAAAAATAACCTCACAATTTAATGAATACATATTGTATACGTTGTCTGCTGTTCACCTCTTTGTATTTCATTAAGTGGATATTAGGAAATTCCAAACCCACATTGTTTTTTTTAAAAACGTCTTTCCATTGCATTGTGTCTCCGTCTCCTTTCAGTCCTTGAGGCAAAGTAAGAACGGGAACAGACCAGTACCTCAGTACGCTTCTCAAAGCTCGAGACAGTTTAGACATTTTACTAATTTAAAAGGTCTAACGTGTACTTGTGTTTTTGTTTTTTGTAGGGTCACCTCCACAAACGACAAAAGACATCCCCTGCTCAGGTTAGTAGCTGCTTTGTTTCCTTTCACTGAACATTGTAAGTCGAGGCTAATCGATTGATCAGTTTTTACTCACTTTGTCCTACAGGCCCGCAGTCTTACTGAGCTGGATGAGAAGATCAGTGCAGTGAAAGCAGCACTACTGAAGAGGGTGAATGAATTCGGGCCGGGATATGGAACAGAGTGTCTGCTGTAAAAACACTCCAAACACACTGTATATTAATGCATTGTTGGTTTCTTTTTGTGTTCCTGACTTCTTCATTAGTACCGTTCTCACAGTATGCAATCAAAAACAAACATTTAATATGAGCTTCATTTCATGGGCAAAACAATGTATTACTCAAAGTAGCTTTGTAGTTAACTGAGATGTATGTGTTACTTTAAATAAAGATGTTTTTTAATGGGAAAACTGGACCTGTAACTTAATCATGAGCCTAAAGCTACTATAAGGAACTTTCATTTTGTGTTGAGTTTGGCGCTCCCTGTGAACAAAAGTGACTGATTCCAAGAACCAGATTCCCTTTGGAAAACCTCATTTTACTGCACTTTACCACAAAAGTCCTAGTACGTCATTAAAAGGTTATCGTATAGTTTACAACAAAAAGTCAAAGTATAGTATCGTATGAATAAATCACGTTGGAAAATGTCATAAAGGTCATTGAATGGCATGTTGAAAAAACGTAAAAAGGTCAGAGTATAGCATCTACAGCTAACGTGGCCAAGGCCAGAGAGATGGTGGTCAACTTCAGGAGGAAGACGACGGCTCCACAAAGAGTTCTGGGAGAGGACGTGGACATGGTGGAGGAGTACAAGTGCCTCGGTGTCTCATCAACAGCAGACCCAACTGGAAGACCAACATCAACGCTGTGTACAAGAAGTCGACTCTTTTTCTTCAGGAAACTTTGATCCTTCAATGTGTGCAGCAAGATGTTGGAGATGTTCTACCAGTCTGTTGTGGCCAGTGATTGCACTGTACTTCGCCGTAGTCTGCTGGGGGAGCAGCACTGGAGACACCAACAGACTTAACAAACTGGTTAAGAAGGCCGGCTCATTGGCTACAAACTGGACACTCTGGAAGAGGTGGTGGAGAGGAGGACACTGAAGAAACTTATCCATATTGGATAACCCGGACCACCCTCTCCACCACCTACTGCAGGGACAGAGGAGCACTGATCCAGCTCCGCTGTCACGAGGACAGATACAGGAGATCATAGTATAGCATGTCGAAAAAAGTCATAATATAGCATATTAAAAAAAACTAAAAAAAGTCATAGTACAGTTTGTCATAAGAACTCATAGTATAGTACAAACAGGTCTAGTGTGTGACATCTTGTAGAAGACTGCTGGTTGCATGGCAATTAGTGGCACCTCACGAATGTCACAGTAATTATGTTCCGTCATCAATGCTAGAGCTGTTAGCTAAAGTTAGCAATTTCAATGTACAACTCTGCCATTTAATGTGGAAGTGAGATGGAAAACATATGAAGCTGTATGTGCACACTGGCAACTTAAATTGAGTAATCGAAACCCTGATCTAGTCATTCATATATTCGGAGAAAATAGGTCTACAAGTAATGATTCTTTTTTTTAAATTAATATACCAGTTTCTTTGAAAGCCCATGGTGACGTTTGACCAACTGTCCATAAAATACTTACATTTAGAAAAACTGTCCGTGAATTATTTGCTTAAATTAGAACTTCAACAATTGATGAATTATAAATAGTTGCGGATTCATTTTCTGACAATTGTTTAATTTCTAAGAGATGATACAGTAATCTGAACTTCACATTAAAATGAAGTAAACAAATCGGATATAAAAAGCATTTAACATTTTCATCTTTGATCTCTCATGCTGGTAGGGTGTGTGTGTGTGTGTGTGTGTGCGCGCGTTCATGTACAGTACGTGTGTTTGTAATTGAGATGAATCTGAGAGCACCTGATTTATCTTCCTGACTGCTGTGTGACGATAATGGTTGTCATTATAACAAATGACCTGATTACTGCAACTCTGTTTGGAAAACATATTGGAGACCCAACAAACCAGCATTAAATGGGACGCTGCTGCGTTTGACGCTGTGACATGTTGATGAAAGGTTTTCGCATAAAGCTTCTACTGAGCAAGCTGAGGTAACACTCGTGATGTTTCTCTTTTGACTTTCTGTGAGTGAACCAGGGCTCCGCTCTGTACATGGAGTCATCAGAGCAATAGGTCTTAAGCACAAACCTGTGAAAGTGCAGGCTGATGACATGACGACCGTGAGCTGGATCATGGCCACGGTGTTTTATGGTTAACCCTAAACATTAACTTATTGTCACAAATGTCTTTCATAATAAAAAAAAATGTTGACATGAATATGATTTTAGATGACAACATGCAGGTTGTTGAGAAATTATAATGATCTGCTGATGTAATTATCACAACATAATTGTTGCCTGTACCTAAACTAAAAATAGTTTGAGAAACTGTGAGCAAGAAGAAATGAACTGAACTTAAAGATTCTGACTGTTAACGGAGCCAGAACATTTCATTTGACATCAAATCATTTGTCATTTGAACACCACAACTTAATAAACCGTTAACTGCAGAACTCACTCTGACGAAAATCATAAAAAAGGAAATATTAAAGTAAAGTAGCTATAGCAGTAGTAACAGCAAACTTTAGTACAATACTTGAATACATGTACTTGCTTACCACAGCTGTCTGTTTGAGCCAAGTTTAAAAGAGAGGAAAGTCGCAACTTCCTCAATGCCATAAACATATAAACTGATTTCAAATAAAAGTTTAAAGGTTCTTCAACAAAAAAGACATATATATATATATATATATATATATATATATATATAAAAATGATGTTTTCTAAGTTATTCTGCAACAGGTGTGACAAACAGAAACGGGGAAAAAGCAACTTTCTCACATCTTTGGAAATTACTGTAACTCCCCTTCCTTTTCTTTGCAGTTGCTCTTTGTGTGTCACGTCAAGATTTATTTCAGCGTTGATTGATGGAGTGACCTGAATACAATAGAAGACCTTGCATTGTGCTTTTTTTTCGGAAGATATTTCATTCTTAACACGGAAATGGGATTTTTTTTTCACCCCTTCTTTCAGGTGTACTTTGCTTGTTCAGCTCTGTCTCTTGCTCATAGACTGGAACCTTCTGGGCAACAAGGGGCCACAATGTGCTGAGAAGGGGAGCACTTGAGCTGCAGCGATGTGGATGGACGTTGAGGGGGGCTGCTCATTGTTCCCCGGGAGCTTTTGTCTCAGACACAGTCCCCTTATGAGGGTTAATGAGGACAAATTGGCCTGAGTGGAACAAATGAATTATGGAGTTGGACAAAAGGTTGTATTTTGTGGGCTGCGTTTGCTGGGATCCACCCATCATCTGCCCATTGAGCCGAGCACACTGACTAGCATCTGCTTGAAGTGGCTCACTAAATATCACATTATCTTTATCCGTGTTTTATTGCACGAGCACATCATGCATGCAGCTTCCTGCAGTGAATTTAACTCAAATATAAAGTTTAGATCACAACAATGCCGTTGGTAATCACTGAAATTACCTGGCGTATTTCCAACAGTTCATGCAAAGAAAATAATGTCAATATGTCAACATTAGTGTCAGTGGTTAGTGCTCTGAGGTTGGGTGGGAATAGTGTACCCTTTCAAATGAACAAAGAGCCACTTCCTCATTGACTCTGTGTAATTCCTGCCTGTCAATCAGTCCTCCCTCTGCCCGATTTCTTGTAATGTCCTTGGGAACCTCGGTAAAAAGACACAGAGGTGTTCCTTGTCTTCTATGGGTCCAGTTGTATTTTTTTGGTGAGGTCGATGGAGAGGATTCATATCCATTCATATCTCACAAACTCTTAATGGGCTCCAAGCCCTCGCAAAAGAAAGCTCTTTCCTGTGACTAGTCAGCTCCAGTCTTTATTCATCTGTGGCTCCGTGTCAAAAAAGACTGTTGCTCGTTTGTGCCCTGAACAATGACGAACAAGGCTAAATCTCTAGCTGGGAACAAGAGACAGAAAACAGGCTTTTCACTCTGCAGAACATTAGATTCTGACACATTTTGCCATGGCAGTTTTTTTTCCCCATCCTGAGTGCTGTGGCTCTGGTCTTTTAAAGAGACCACCTGTTGGCAACAAGCCTGTTCTTCATTACAGACAGGCCTATTATCACAGGATGAGGAGCGCCACAGGCTAACTTTTAAAAGTTAACCCTGCTGCAGTTTTCAAAACTGGCCGATTTGAAAACATAGATTACGCATTGCCGCTGGAAAAAAATCTATTACTGCGAGCAAATTTGTATCTTGTTTTTGAATACGGGCTTTTGTCGGCGTAAGAGGGAGGTACTTCATTCATGCCCTTGTCAGTTACAAATGTCACAAACAAAGGGACTCGAATGTAGGCAGCTTGAATGTTCTGTAACTACAGATTTGGAGCCAAATTCATATGCATTGTTAGGAGAAAGCCCAATTGTACTTACTGTAAAGTTGTTGATGGTGGTCTCATTTTATTTCACTCAAATATTTTTATTCTTCTTTTGAAAGCAGATTTGAGCAATTTCCAACCCCCAAAAACATTAACATAACTGCAGCATGGTAATGATTTGTGTAAAATTAAAGTAGTGTCGGGGCAATATGAAGCAATCAAGTGCATGCGTTGGCTTTGAATTGGACGTGATAAACACAGTCTGAAAGAAACAAGAGCGTTTGCTTTATTTTTTGGTCAGATTGTGTGGAGATTTTAAAAGGTAATGTTAAATTATTTATAGATTTCATAGCTCTAAAAACCCATGTTCATAGCACCAAAATTTAAAAAGAAGTTACATTTTTCATGAATAATCTTTGCCCGGGATTTGATTGTAGAAACAAACACCTGCACATCCCGCAGGGTGTTTTAGAATAGCTGGCCTCAGGACAGAGGGGAACGCTTTTATTCCCCATAAGACGGCATTAGTCCAGCAAAATACCTCTGTCATACTCATGCCAGCACTGTCGGAGTACGCCCGATGCAGTCACACTTGTTTCATGTTCACAAACACCCAGAGGGGGTTGCATGCACCTGTGACCCTCCCCCACAAAGCCAACAGAACAAGAGAGGATCCCCCTGCAGCCCACAGGCTTCAACGAGAGGCAGTCAGCTGCTCTCTGTGGCCCTGCTGCACGGTCCCCAGGCTCTCTGGAGTTAAATGTGCCTGTGATATTGCCAGGAGGGAGCAGCGGGAGTTGAATTCAGGCAATTACAATCAAGTCAGGGCATAGTTAGTGCGTGGGCCCTGGCAGCACCTGAGCTGGATGCTGATGAGACACTTAGCCCCAAACCCTCATGCATTGGCCCAAGCGCTGCGTAGAACAAGACCCCCTCCCCCACTTCCCTCTCTCCCTCTCTCTTCCCACAGCAGCA